ATAACCTTCTATTTTCATTCACCGTTTGTAGATTATTCCCACGGTGTCTGCAGATAGCGGTCTTAACTTCAAAAACACCCCGTTCATGATCGTATTGAAGAAATGAATGCCACTGTGCTCGCCTCCTGGACCTTTCAAATCTTCTCATGGGTATTGGCATAAATTGAACACCCCTGTCCATCAATGCCGATGCAGCTGCATGCCTTTCAACAAACCTCTCCGCACTCTGTTTGAATGTCATGCGGACCATGACAGTGACAGGCAATCCACGGGCAGACTTCAACAAGCCGTTGAATGACTCCGACACGTTTGTAGTGAGGGCTCCCCATCGTTTGCCGCCATCAGCATGCAATGTCCACATGTGAAGCTCATGTCGCATCAACCAAGTATAGGCTCGTGGATCTATCTGCCGGATCGCTTCCATGCGCCTCGTGAATTTGCACTGGTGGTGCTCAGTTGCAGCCATCCACATTAAGTCATGCAAGGCCTTGTCAGGAAATTTCTTCTGGAAATTGGCCTTCAGGTGCCTCACACAGTAACGGTGGTATGCATATGGTTCCTGCCATTCAAAGTGACGAACAGAACTTAAAATACCACCATGCCGATCAGATATTAGACAAATACATGAACGCTGTTTGACAACGTGCTGCTTCAAGTGGTTCAAAAAAAGCATCCACGTCTCTTCGCTTTCGTTGGCACATATGGCAAAAGCTAGTGAAAATATTTGTCCGTTGGCATCAACTGCAACTGCAGTCAAAAGGTTAATATCATACTTTCCATAGACATGAGTACCGTCTATGGAAATTACAGGACAACAGTGCACAAAACCATCAATTGCTGCTTTAAATGACCAGAACACATAGTTGAAAATATATACGGGTCTGTCCGGACTCCGCTCACGCATCCATTCAACAATCGTGCCGGGGTTAAAATATTGCAGTGCGGCCATGTACCTGGGCAGATTTGAAAAAAACTTATCCCAGTCGCCATAAATAAGTTCAAAGGCACGTTTGCGACCGAGATATGCCTTTCTTTTGGTTATAGTACAACCATACTCCTGGTGGACTGCTGTAATACACTCTTTAATCTTGAACCTAATGGACACTTCCAAATATGGAATCAAGACAAGAGAAATCAAGTCCACATCCAAGTTGAAGTGATTCTCATTGAATGTGTCCATTTCACATCTGTGCTCGCTAATAAATTTACCCACTTTCCACAAACCTGATTTCTTCTTGATGGCACGCAACATCCAGTGACAACCCATAAACCACCTACGGCATACAACCTTGTATACCTCCGTAGTTGACTCACTTACCGTCATCTCACGACACTCTCTTATACTGTAGATTTTTACAGCCCTAATTAGGCGAGCTTTATCGGGGAAATACATGTCCTTTGTCAGAACAGCTGGTCTAGACTCATCCCACATCGCTGACCGAATTTCGTCATCATCCCTTGTGAGGGCATCCACGTTCGGTATACTTGGCAAATTATCAAAGTAGGGAATATTCCGCTCATGAAATGGCACGTGGGACTCGTACACTCTTTGTCTAGCGGGAGGTGGAGGAACATGCTCCCTCGTCAGCTCAGGTTCAACATTCACTTCCTCCTCATTATCACCCTCATCATGGAAGGGTGTGTCATCCCCAGACTCATCCGCATTGTTTTCATAATCACTATCATCTTCCTGACTCTGCGCATCAGCCAAATCACGAGTCAATACGTCGTCTATGGGCAACTGTGTGAGGTCAGGAACATCAAGAAGCTCGTTTTCACTGCACAAAAAGAACAAAATGATAAGTTACCCAACTACATAAATACATTTGATATAGCTATATCAATTTACTTACAAGTCGCACTGTCTTGACGTTTCATGATGAATATTTTCTTGTTGGTGATGACTCCCGGATGGACCACCGTGCTCCAATACTCTAGAACTACGCATATTCCAACTAGGGACGGGGTCATAACATGTAAAATTCATATCCGGACGGTACCCCCTATGAAAAATATAAGTGTTAATACAAATCCAATTAAAACATAAACTAAACATCGCTAAAGCGTAGTAAAATTAAAGTTTACCAGTCGTCTTGTGGATTATATAAAGTCGAAAAATTATTTTGTGGCTGCTCATTCGCCGGTGGTGACAAGTTTAAATCAAGGCAAGCTCTTTCATCAGCAATCTGTCCGGCAAAAACTGCTCCAGAATAACCACCCGATGACTGAGGGTTATCCCTACTATGCACGCCCTCATTATTGGGAACGTCTTCCACCTTGACGTACATTTCCAATAATTTTATTACAATAAATTCCCTGTATTCATCCGGAATCCGCAAAAAATCTCTAAGAGTTTCATCATCCTCGATGTTAAACTCAGAATAATAAGCAAACCCCTGCGGAGTCACTGAATTCGGAAACCTACCGGTTACTTTAAAGTTAACCGAACACTTCCTCACACTCATTTTTTTACATAACAACGAAACCAATTTATCATACTCCATAGTAAGCGGCAATTTAACATGACACTGTGGAGGTGAGCTATACATCACGGAGTTATTCTCCAGCACAACCTCACCCCCCTCAATATAATGAAACCCTTATTTTTGGCTCTTCAGACATTGTACAAAAATAATTGATAAGAAGAAGAGAGAAGTATGAACGGAAGCTAAAAGTTTGTATTGAATGAATTTTCATAAAACTGAAACACCTTTAAATAAGGCAAGTCCGAGCCTGGGCTGCAGAATTTTTTTAAGGAATTCGCAGTACAATAATACGTTTTATGTGTTTGAATTATTGTTATGTCAGTTAATTATTGGTGGGGCCAACTCAGTATTCGCAGTACAATACTGCGAATTAGCAAAAAAAAAATATTTTTTAATAATACGCAGTACAATACTGCGAATTAGCTAAAAAAAATATTTTTTTAATAATACGCAGTACAATACTGCGAATCACTATTTTTTTAACTGATTCGCAGTACTTTACTGCGAATTACTTTAACGGCTAAAGTTCCGTTAAAGTAATTCGCAGTATAGTACTGCGAATTATGTATTTAAGTAACTTTTTTTTTAGTAGTAAAAACATGTTTTTTTTGTCCAAAAAAATATTAGAAAAGTTTCGGTCCCTCACATAAACTGAAACAGAGGGAATAATATATAATCGGTGTACAAGAAGTTCCAATTCCACCCACTTTTAGAGTCTCAAAACCGGCAAATGCAACAGAACATAGATTACCATTGTTTAAAGAATGAAGGCATTAGATTGCCATACTAGTATATTATATATTAATATAAAAATAAATTTACCAACTATATATTATTTTTGGGAGCGGCTATATTGTATAATTTTTCAAAGGAAGATTATATTGATTCACTATATTCAGGGGCGGATGTACATGAGAGGGACTGGGTTCACATGAACTCATCCTCCTTTCCCTAAATCATATACAGCACTAATGAATTTCAACTCAAATACTTAACTTAATTAACATGGGTGAACTCAAGTTCAAGCAAGCATTTTAGTGTACTAGTAAGGAGGTGCACCTTCTACCTTTTAGTTAGAAGTTTGATCCCCATACTCTTTCTTCTTTTAAGTAATATTTTAATTAATAAATAGGGTTAAATCCCCATGCCCTTACTGCTTTTCTAATTAAATACATTGTTTTTGTTTCTTTTTTTCCTTTTTTAATTGCTTCCATGTTTTCTTTTGTTTTTTTTTCCTTCTCTTTTTTGGTCTTTGTTTAGATTTTTAAAATTCCTAAACTAAAAATACATATCTCAGGCACCTCTCTCAGAAACTCGAGTCTCATGATACACTCATGCTCTTAAAATCTTCGATACGCCTCTGAGTCTATATTGTCAATTGAAAAAGGAAAAAAAATGCTTATTAGAAATTATATTACTAACTTTTAGTCTGAATCTTGAAGGAAAAACTTCAAAGAAATTAATTACATAATTTTATTGAATAAATTTTAAATCTTTTATTTAGGTTTCACTTTAGGCTACTTTTTTGATATAGTAAAGATTGATTTAATTATTATAAAGATTCTAACAATAATAATTCATGCATATTTTAATATTTCTTGCTAAATAAATTAACTAGTTTTGTGACTAAATTCAGATCTCTCTTTTGATCATTTCCTCGAACTCTTCTTCCCCCAACTAAAACATCAAAAAGAAAACAAACACATATAACATCTACATAAAGCAAAGTGACAAGGTGGGTCAAAGTCAAGGTGCTGAACCCATTTTCTCAAAAGGGTCGAATCCAAAAAACTGAATTAATTGGCGAAAACCATGAGATTAAGAAAGGAAATTGGAGTTTCCACTCTGTTGTAAGGAATTTTGAGTCACATAAAAAGTTGCCAATTCTGCAGAATTACTACTCTGAAGCTTCATTTTCTATGATTCTTGATTGTGTTAGCCCTTGAAGTAAAGTGGACAGTGGACACTGTTTTACTACACTGTTAGCCCTTGAATTACTACGCTGTTATCTTTGTTTCTCTTTTAAATTTTTTACTTTTGTTATGAGCTGAGATAGCTTTGCAGCTTTTCAATTAATTTCCACCACCTTGATGTTTGTGGGGGGAAAATGTATAGTTTTAATTTGGTTTCTATCTAAGTTTGTCTATTAGTCTACAGATTTGATATTCCTTAAATGTTATTCCCTCTAACTAAAACGAGCTATATGTTGGATGACAAGTTAAGAACCTATCAATTGGTGAATGGAGTTAACCACCTCATAATAGGTTCACCTATTAAAGCGAAATTTACACGGAATTGTCAGTAATAAGTTACATGTTAGTAAATTGCTAACTTAGAAAACGAAGCAAGTTATGTTGCTACAGCAGGTTTAAGTACACTAATAATGAAAGAAAATTTAATTACATTGTGAGAGCTCAATGATTTTTGTGGTCTAGGATAGTTTGTGACATTTGTGGTGAGGAAGAAACTTCCAAGTCAAGGTCTTCGTCAACCCTTTAATAAGTTGTGTTTAAAAGGCTACTTTTAATACAAAGACTTATACTAGTAGTTTGCAACAAAAAGGTTGTTGATCTTCAAATCATATTACTTTCTCATCATGGCTGAAATTCTTTACGAGCTTGCTGCTGAGATCTTGAAAAACTTGGGTTCTCTTGCAGTTCAAGAAGTAGGATCAATTTGTGGACTAAGCGATGAGCTTTGCAAGCTTTCTGGTACAGTTTCTTCAATCCAAGCTGTACTAATTGACGCGGAGGAGCAGCAGCAGAGTAGCCATGAGGTGAGGGATTGGATAAGGAAACTTAAAAAAGTTTTCTTTGAGGCTGATGATCTCTTGGATGACTTTGCTACTGAAGTTACGCATCGAAAATTGGTGAATATGGTAAGCATCTTCTTCTCAAAGTCAAATCGTGTGCTTTATAATGTTAAGGTAAGTAAGTGTCTCAAGGCCATTCGAGAAAATCTAGATGTAATTGCAAAATATAAGGCCTCCTTAAACCTTGTTGAAAGGAGGCAACCTTTACTTCTTGAGTCTAATTTGGATAGAGAGACTTATTCATTTGTGCCTGATGGAGAAGTCATTGGTAGGAATGATGATAGAACGAAAATTCTGGATTTTCTTATGGATGCTGAGGTAAATGAGAATGTTGCGGTTATATCAATAGTTGGCCTTGGTGGACTAGGGAAGACCACTCTCGCGCAATTGGTGTATAATAGTGAAATGGTTCAGGAAAAATTTGATAAAAGATTGTGGGTTTGTGTTTCAGACGTTTTTGAAGTGAAAGTGATTGCAGAAAAAATAATCGAATCTGCAGGAGGGGAGAAGGCTAATTACCTTCAACTAGATGCTGTGCAAAACCAGCTTCGAGAAATGCTTGATGGGAAGAAATATCTACTGGTGCTGGATGATGTGTGGAACGAAGATGCCTTGAAATGGTCGAGATTGAAAAATATGTTGATCGGTGGAGCCAAGGGAAGTAAGATTTTAGTAACTACTCGTTCAGTTGTAGTTGCGGAAGTTTCAGGAAGTGTTCACCAACATAAATTGGGGGACCTTTCAAAAGAAGAAGCATGGGCATTGTTTGAAAAAATGGCGTTCGAATGTGCCAAAGAGAGTGAAAATTCGAGTTTGGTGGAAATAGGAAAGGAAATTGTGAAAAAGTGTGGAGGAGTTCCTCTTGCAATAAGGTCGGTAGGAAGCCTACTACGCCTAAAAAGAACGGAGGATGAATGGATATATTTCAAGAATCAAGATTTGTCAAGTATCACACGAGGAGGCGACAGTGTCATGGCCATTTTGAGATTGAGCTACAATCACCTTCCTCACCATCTAAAGATATGCTTCGCTTATTGTTCCCTTTTTCCAAAGGATTTCCGTATTGATAGAGTTGATTTGATTGATATGTGGATCGCTCAAGGCTTTATACAATCAACTACTAGCAACAGAGACAATGTGGAGGACGTTGCAAATTCATATTTCATGTATTTGTTAAGAAGGTCATTCTTTCAAGAAACTAAAGAACATAAATCGTTTCCGCATTTTTACAAAATGCATGATCTTATTCATGATGTTGCGAAAGAAGTTTCAGATAAGGAGTTCTTCAGTATCACTGAAACAGAAGATGCAGAGATTGTAATTCCTGAACAAACTCTCCATGCTTCTTGTTTGTTCCAAGTAGATGGTTCATTGGAATTTCCGAATCTCTCCTACAGGAAGCATATGAAGTTGCGGACATTTATTTACCTAAATGGGTCAAACAATGTTGTCATAAGCAATTCAACGTTAGAGAGAATGGTTTCAAGTTTTGAATGTTTACGCATTCTGCATCTATGTCACCTGCGAATAAAATTTCTGCCTCAATCTTTAGGTGGACTGAAGCATCTAACATATCTTGCTATTTTCTCTACAAGAATTGTTACTTTACCAAATTCCATCACGAAGTTGCATAATCTACAAGTATTAAAGTTGGTTAGTTGCTGTAAACTCAAAAAATTGCCAAGAGATATTTGGAGATTGGTGAGCCTTGGACGTTTGGTATGTACGTGTTGCCCATCATTAACCCATATTCCACCAGGACTGTGGCAGTTGGCAAGTGTCACGCATTTGGATTTTGATGGTTGCAGTTCATTGGAAGATATGCCACCTGGAATTGGCCAATTGACATCTCTACGGACATTGACAAGTTTTATTGTAGGCAAAGAAAGTCGCATATCTGGTTTGGCCTTGCTGATCTCAGAAATAGATTACACATTAAGTTCATGGGACGAGCCTGTGCAATTGGAGAAAGAATACCTACCGATGTAGTGAAAAGAATGAAACATCTTCAGAAGCTGTTCGTAGAGTTCGAATTTGGAAATCAAGAGGATGATACTGGAGCTGATCTGATAATGTTGGAGGCCCTGCAGCCGCACCAAAACATTGAAAGCTTGCGAATTGTAAATTATAGTGGATCTTTTACTCATATGGAATCTTGACGTCGTGGAGAGCATAGAAGGTGATGATGATAAATTCATGCTACCATCAAATTCTCCTACAGATAGAACGATACTTCCCTTCCCTAAAGCGGCTTTATTTGGGGATAATAAGTGAGAAGATATTGAAGCAAATTCTTTGCCCATCATCCTTCTCCTCTTTGCAATTTAAATAGATTGACTCTAGATTCTATTAAGGGCCTAACAACTATGTCAGAGGATTCGTTCAGGAAAGCCTGAAGCAAAGATGCGAGAAAGAAGTAGGAGAGGACTGGCATAAGATTTCTCACATTCCAAGAGTTGAAATACGAGAAGAGTTTTGATAATTATTACCTGTTTAGGTTGATACTTCTCGTCGTCTCATAATGTGTTGTTTTTATACTGTATTGTATTGCGTTGTTGAAGAATTGAAGCAATGCTTGGATAGAAGCATGAGTCTGCTAGTGGCCCAAAAAGGCAGGTGAAGGTCAAGGTGCTGAAAACCATTTTGATAATTATTCTTTTATTACCTGTTTAGGTTGATACTTCACTGTTTCCTACTCCAAGAAAGCATCATATTACTCAATTAAAGAACATATGCCAGTAACAAAGCTTCTATCTTTTTATTTTCTTAATTACTTTCGGTGCGGGTATATGATACGACTGTTCTTAGCCATAGCTACAACTTTTATATGTTTATCACTTATTATCCCGCCATTCGTTAATTCATCACAAATTAAATTTTTCCTCTAAGCTAAAAGGGTTGACTTAACGGTGTTCAATCCTTTCAAAGAGAGAGATTCGAACCCATACTCGGTCTAGCTGCCTCTCTTTGTATTTTATGTCTCAGCCTTTTTACAGCTATTGAGTCAAATACTAAGATAGTAAAATAGTGTATCAAATAAGGGGTTAGTGAATATGTATTGTTATGATATTTTTGGTAAGATTAATCAAGGCATTAGTGACCTAATGTTTGATAATGCTTAGTAGTCATAATGAAAAGACAATTACTATTTGAATTATAAATTGTTCAATGGATGTAATCTTTCGTAGAAGGAATTTGGATGATCTGGTAGTATATCTACTCCTATCCGATACAGTGGTGTATTTGCATATGGAGAATTATAGTCATCATTATCCCATATTAAAGATTAAGAAATTAAAGGATATGTTTGATTGTGCAATTTTTTTTTAGAAGAATTACGACTGCTACCACACAATTTCGACCCTTTTCCTAGGAGTCAAAATGATTAGCTTCAGTGATTTGGTAATGATAATGAAATATAATACTCCATCTGTCTCATATTAACAGTTGTGGTTACTAAAAATAGTTGTCTTAAATTGTGTCATTTTAGAACTTCAAGAAGAAAATAATTGTTATTTTCTTTTTTTACCCTTAGTAATAATTGTTCTTGAAGATGGAGATAACACTTAAATAGAATAAATATTCAATGAAGAGAGATTATATCTTATGGCATAACTAAGGGTAGGATAGTACAATCTCTTTCCTAATTAATCTATATCCATACTATATTAAAAGCACGAAGGCCCTTAGCGAAATGTTGTTCGCCATTTTTACCCTTTAAAAACTGAATTTACATCGGACAAGATTGTAATTTAATTATATTCCTAATATTTAGGATTTTAAAATGAGTTACAATTTTGGTTATTGAATATTTCCTTATTTTATTCCTTATTTGTACTATGTAAAAATTCCTAATATTTAGGAAATCAAAATAAAATAAAATTGTATTGAAATTATTTGAAAATTGTACGTATAGTTAATTAGAAATTACAATGCAACTAGAATTGTTGGTCACACACGAGTTTGAATTCTTAAAAGAAAAAAATATCAAACATAACAATCTATGTAAGAGATATTTATAAAGTTACTAAACTTAAGTATGTTTTAACAAGCTTAGTCTATTATGACTTCAATTTTAGTAAGCATGTATATCAGTTTTATTAATTTATAATTTTTCATAAGGATTTACTGATGATTATTGTATACGACTTTTAGAAACAATTTACTTATTAGCGCTAAAGCACACGCGCAACGCGCGTACCTTAAGACTAGTATTTCTTAAGAGGCGTGTAAAAGAGAAACACGACAGATAATATGTGTTGGCCCAAGAACATGTGAAGTTTTGAAGACTGACAAAAGAACTCAGACATGGACCAGGTCCATCTTGTGAAGCACAATCATGATCGACCCAAACATGTGAGATGCACGTGAAGGAGATAAATCTAACTTATCAGAAGTAATATCTCCTGATCTGATCGAAAAGGTTGCATATTGGATAAGGAGAGAAAGACTCCTTACATGAAGAGAACACAGTTTAAGAAGAGTATAGTGTTAGAGTATGAGATAAACTAGAACTCTTCTACGATAGAAGAGTAGAATTTGTATCCCAGCTAATCTCTAATACTAACCCATTAAATATCAGTGTTGTTCTCTTTTACAGGTAATGCACATAAGTAGAAGTTAAACTCAAAATTGAGAGCAAAAGAGCAAGGCGATTTTGCAAGCTAATTATGTGTGATTCAAGCGGTGCAATCCTGAAGCACTTGAACAAGATAGAAGAACCAGTTCCAAGTGTCTATCTTTTATTCTAGTTCAATTGTAGTAGGTGATTTTACATTGTACCTTTCAGCTTTTATAGAAGCAAATTGTATTAGGTACCTAGAGTGTTCAAGTTAGATTAACTTGAAGTTGTCGCAACAGTTGAGGCTTTGTGCCACAACGGGATTAGAGTTAATCCTTAGGTTTACAAAGATTTTTGTAAATGCTATTTTGGATCAGTGATTTTTTGTGGAAGTTTTGGAAAAATGCTACTGAGTAGTAGGTCGTTGGTTTTCACCTTTTGAGCCAGGTGTTCTGCACGTAAAAAATCTTTGTGTTCTTTATTTTCTTTACTTCTTATTCCGCAAACAGTAGTAGTTGGAACACATAGAAGAACCAGGTCCTTCTATAGTTCAGTTAAGCGAAAATTGGGTACCACACAAATCCCCCCCTCTTGTGTGGTATTGAAGTATAAAACATCATTTGGTATCAGAGCAGGTTATCCTTGAAGAGGCTAACACCTTAGGAAAAGATCAAGATGAGTGCACCACTGGAAACCGGGAAGGGCAATCCACTGGTAGGCCCCCACTCTTTAATGGTCAGTACTATTTTGGTGGAAGAACAGGATGAGAGATCACATCATAGGAGAAGACATATGAACTCTGGGACATATTCACTGATGGTCCCCTGGCTACTACAAAGAAGAATGCTGAAGGAGTGGACGTGCCAAAGACAAGAGCTGACTGCACTGCTGAAGATTTGAAGAAATGGGAAAAGAATGCCAAGGCCAAGAAATGGCTTGTATGTGGACTAGGTCCAGACGAGTACAGCAGGATTCAAAGCTGCACCACTGCTAAGGAGATATGGGACACTTTACACGTGGCTCATGAAGGAACTCCTCAAGTAAAGAGATCAAGAGGATCACTGCTATATTCTCAATATGAGAATTTCACCATGAAGGAAGGAGAAACTATTCAGGAGATGTACACAAGGTTCACAACACTAACAAATGAACTTAAATCTCTTGGGAGAATTATCCTTGAAGAAGACAAGGTTGAGAAAATCTTGACAAGGGTCTTACCAGTAACTTGGGAAAGCAAAATCACTGCTATTCAGGAATCAAAGAACATTGCTACTCTCAAGTTGGATGAACTGATTGGAAATCTCACTGCCTATGAACTGAGAAGGCAAACCATGAAAATGGATGCACCCAAGAAGGAAAGGAGTCTAGCTCTCAGAATAACTAAAGGTGAAGATCTAGAGGATGATAAAGTGGCCATGATCACAAGGGATTTCAAAAAGTACCTGATGAGAGGAAAGGGTTCTTCAAGAGGTACAACCTTCAACAAACCAAGAGCTCCTAAGAAACAGACCCACGAGGGTTGCTACAAATGTGGCAAGACTGATCACATGATCAAGAACTGTCCCCAGCGGGAAATTGAATGGAAGAAGGAAAGGGCTGAACAAAGGAATAGAAAGAAGGAACAGGTTCAACCCAAAAGGAACAAAGGATCAACTAAGGATATGGTTGCTGCTTGGGGAGAGACATCAGATGAAGATTCAGAAGATGAAGCTGGAGATGAACAAGCACTTATGGCCATCGGAGAATCAGATGATGAACATGAGGTAAGTGTGACTCATCTCAAAGACAAGATTAAACTTCTGTCTAAAGAAAGGTTATCTGAACTATTGCTAGACTTCATCGATGAGTCTGAGATAATTAACAATGAGAAGGAACAACTGTCTAGGGAGTGTGTGATCTTAAAAGCCAAGTGCAAAAACCTAGAATCTAGGGCTAATAAGAGTGACAGTAAAAATGCTGAGTTGAAGAACCAGGTTCTTGAACTTGACACTAGTGTCTTAGAACTTAGGTCTAAAAATTTAATACTGAAATTAGGAACAGGCAAGAAGAAAGCTGATCACACACATCTCACCTTAGAAGAAAATCTAGGAAAGATGAAGGATGAGGTGTACAAAAAGGATGAGCAGATAAGAATCTTAAAGGAAGATCTAGGGAAGGTAAAACATGAACTAGACAGAACTTGCAAATGGAATAAGGCTTCTGATGCACTATCCTGGTTACAAGAACACCACAGTAGCAACAAGAGAGGACATGGCTATGAGACCCAAGCACCTAAGTGGGACCCCAAAAGCAAGTACATCACTCTCCCTGAAAACAAAATCTACACACACTGTGGCAAGACTGGTCATTACAAAAATGAATGTAATGCAAAAGAAAAGGTCAGTCAAAAGAACAAAACCTTTGTTCAAGAGAAAAATAGGCTGCCTGGGTGGGCCAAAAGGAATTTAATTTACCCCTTTGCCTATAGAAAATGACCCAAACTAGTTTGGGTTCCTAAGACTAACCCCTGATTT